AGTAGCTTCTTGTTCCTAGTAGCTTCTTGTTACTGCTAGTAAGGCACCTGTTACTACTAGCGTGGCACTTGTTTCTAATGGCTTCTTGTTCGTCTTGCTTCGTTTCGCTCAGGCAACTTCACTCATTGCGGGCAGATACTATGGGATTTGTGTTGACATGGACGGTGCAGTACTCCTCCTACAGTGATTTCCGCCAGCTCTACATCTCTGCATACAATGCTAGTAGGTTGGTGTAGAGCCGCAACAAGAAGCTACTAGGAGCAAAGGGCATCGCTACGAACGGAGCAAGGACGCTACTAGGAACACTCCTGGCCTTACTACTAGGAACAAGAATCTACTAGGAACAAGTGCATCGCTTCTAGTAACAAGTGCCTTACTAGTAGTAACAAGAAGCTACTAGGAACAAGAAGCTATGAGGTTGGAGGCATTTTTTATCTTTTTTTCGAGCGCTCAGAGGTCGTCCTCCCTACAATGAGGTGTCTACCCTTGGCTTCGGAGACACAGGCTTCATGATCTACGTGAGTGGGTTGGAAGGGCGCTACCCTCACTTCCAGCTGCCCTTTTTCTTCATGTTTTTTCTTTTTATCGCTTTAGTTGTCATACTTTTGTTATCTTTTTTCCTCTCTCTTTGTCGTGTCTTTGTTTCAGATCTCCCAGGATTTCACCCTCTGCTATACGTCAAGCGTTTGCTCAGGAGGCAGCTTTTGCATGTAGAAACGCGTCGCGATTGAAACGTTTCAATCCAAAATACCAACAAAGCGAGTCGAAAGGTTTGAATTCAATCAGTATGATTTTTTTATTTTCTGGGTTTTGTGGGGGGCTGGGGTAGGCTGCTAGAGTTCTTTTGGAGCCTTTATTTTTGTTTTTAAAGCAGAACTTTGTGTTTTTAACGCTTTGCGTGCAGATCCAGCTGACCTGCTCGGAGACCAAGCCGGGTGATTTGCAAAGGACGGAATTCTGGGTTTGGATGGGTTTGGACAGTGAAGGGCTCCTCTCTTTGGAGGTCATCGCTATTAGGAGCATTTGTATTTTTACAAGGTCTTTTTTGTAAACTTCATTCCATCACTGTTGGAGGCCATCGCTCTTAGGTTGGAGGCCATCTCTAGTACGTAGGTTGGAGGCCATCGCTAGTGGCTATTGGGTTGGAGGCCATGCTGTGACGACTAGAGGTCCGAGTGGGAGATCAAAAGTGGCTTAGTTAAGTAAGGAGAGGGGAAGCTACGCGTAGCAAGGAATCTACAACATGCAAGGATGCGGTCGAAATTGTTCCAAGTCTATTTTACAGATTAACCTGTTGAGCAAAGAGGACTTGCAGAAGTATTTTTCGCCACATGTTCTACATAATGTCAAAAGAATTTGTGTAGCTTTGCAGTTGACACCGAGGCCCCTATTGTAATCCAAACAATGACATCACTCAAGCATCGACCTTGGAGATTTACAACATTTGAACAGTCTTCACATGTTCTTCACATTTGTGTTGATTCAAAATGCATATTGTATGTAAATGGCTGTGCTTTTGAATCACATCGAGGCCTACATCTCCTTGGAGTGTGACACAACGCTCTACTTTGGCCACAAACTTGAGGGCTTGTTGGAAGATCTTGCATATATGTTACAAATAATTGTTACAACCAATCCAACGGGATCAAACACATGCACTGTTTACAGAGACAAACCCAGCACCGTAGCTCATATGAAAGTCTAGAGTTCTGAAAACCAAATCACCGTGCACCAAGTTCTTTTCTGAGATCTAACAAACGAACGATATTGGGCCGTGCCAAATGTGCAGTTTGTGTGACTGAGGTTTCAATCTGCCGGCTACAACTGGTGTGAATTCGCCAACAAATCGATTGCCAATGCCCCAAATTCTTTGGTTGGAGGCCATCGCTATTAGGTTGGAGGCCATTGCTTTTAACTTATTCCCGAAAGCATTGCGAAGGGTTCTTCCGGAAAATCCTTTGAACACTGACACTTCGACACTTACACTCAGACACACCTAGACATTGACACTTTCACCACACTGGCAGGATAAATAACATGAACGCTATACGTAGCCCTGTGTAAGTGGAAGAGCGAAAGCTGTCAAAGTATGCAAGTGGAAGTATGCAAGTGTAAGTATGCAAGTGAACTAGCACGGGAGATGTCCTAATGAACTAGCACGGGAGATGTCCTAATGAAAAACTTTTCCCCACTTTATTGAAAAAACTTTTCCCCACTTTATAAATTCTCTCTTAAAGGCGGAGGGTGGGACGAACAGCGTCAACCGAAAGTGCAACCCTCTGCGGAGATCGTGCGTGTCGAGTGCGCGAAATGCAGGCGAGAGTGCGATGTGCCGGGTGCCCGCGCAACCCTCTGCGGAGATCGTGCGTGTCGAGTGCGCGAAATGCAGGCGAGAGTGCGATTTGCCGGCTGCGCGCGCAACCCTCTGCGGAGATCGTGCGTGTCGAGTGCGCGAAATGCAGGCGAGAGTGCGATTTGCCGGCTGTGCGCGCAACCCTCTGCGGAGATCGTGCGTGTCGAGTGCGCGAAATGCAGGCGAGAGTGCGATTTGCCGGCTGTGCGCGCAACCCTCTGCGGAGATCGGGCGTGTCGATAGCCGCGCAAAGACTTTGGCTGACAACAGGCAGTGGAAGCCAGCTTGCTGGCTGCCATTGTCCAGATGGAAAGCCAGCACGCTGGCTGCCATCATAGTTGAAGTGGGTATGAGCCAGCACGCTGGCTACCATCATAGTTGAAGTGGGTAAGCCAGCACGCTGGCTGCCATTGTTGAGATGGCAAAGCCAGCACGCTGGCTACCATCATAGTTGAAGTGGGTAAGCCAGCACGCTGGCTGCCATTGTCCAGATGGCAAAGCCAGCACGCTGGCTGCCATCATAGTTGCAGTGGGTATGAGCCAGCACGCTGGC